TAAACACAATCATTATCCCACCACATGATTTTTAATTTTTTTTTTAATTAGGTATTTTCTACCCTTGTAATGTGAGTATATTTAACAAGCTACCAAAGAAAACTATTCTTACAGCTCAAATAGATTGCAATAGTATTGAATGAATTTCATCCCTCTAAACTCTTCTGAAGAGAATGTGCAAGCATGTGGTTTTATTTACAGTTTCCCCTTCCTGCACCCATAGATCACTATGACTTAAAAGTATGGGTTCATGTTTTTTCTGGAAGTTTCTACACATTACAAAGAGTAGCAGAGAAAACACACCAATCACGTTGCTATGGTTTTAGTGGCCATTCTTGAGCCACTGATCACATTCTACTTGATGTCGCTATTGTGTTTAAACCCAGGCAGGTTGAGTCTTGTTCATGTTTCTATCCTCCTCAGTGCCTCACTATGCACGTTGTAGATACTGATTAAATATTTGCTAAGTGACTGCCCAAATAAATGAATAACTAATAACTGCAGTTGTACTTCTATTCAGAAGAGAAAACTGGAACAAACCTACCTATATGCCTTTACTGGATGAAATGAAAAACTGTATTCTAATGGAAGTAATTTGGATTTCACTATGACTCATCAAGGTCCTTCTCAGTTAACTTTACTCTCAAAATCACAAATTGAAAAGAGAAAAGTAAAAGTGTGCCTCTGAAATTTCTTAGAAGTTTTTTATTATTCTGATGAAGAATAAATGACTGACACAGTTTGGGGGTGTTTTCAGAATTGAAGGTCTTGGGGAGGATTGTTTTATCATTGAAATGCATTCTCTAATTCCTTCTTTATACACACACACACACACACACACACACACACGCACATACACATACACATACACACAAGTACACACAAATAAGATGTCACATCTTAAGAAATTTTGGAGTACCTCCTAATTTAAGCCTGACCCTTAAAGATTGGTGATCCCTAGGGTTTTGTCTTTGGTCCATCTCTCTACTTACTCTTCATGTTCTCACTGAATGATGATGTTCACTTCCATGGTTTTAACTTCCATCTATATGCTTAGAACTTCTAAATCATTCTAACACTGACCTTGTCTTAAATTTCAAATTCCTATATCCATCTGCTTAATAACATCTATACCTGTATACTTCTTACTTTCCTAAATTCAAAACTTAAAAACCTCATCTCCTCATTCTCTAACTCACACTAACAAAATTGGCTAAATCTTTTCTCTCAATTATTAGCATTTCCATCTGTTTAGTCATAAGAAAACAAAAACCTAGAGTTTTATTCTAGACCTGGTGTCAGAAAACTACATTCCATGTACATATTTTCATAACTAAAGTTTTATTGGAACACAGCAACACCCATTCATTTATATGTGTTGATGGCTGCCCTTCTACTACAGTGGCACAGTGGAGTGAGGTAGAGGCCATATGGCCCACGAAGCCTAAAATATTTGCTATTTGGCCCTTTATTTAAAGAAGTTTGCTGGCTCCTATCTTAGATCATTCCGTCTCTCAGAAGGCAAAAGCTACCTATTTTTTCTTCCTATATATTTCTCAAATTCATTCCTACCACCTCTCAAACTTAGGCTCTCACATGGATGATTGCAACAACCTCCCAACCCCCATCCCTCACCTACTACCAGAATGATACATCTAAAACACACATTTTATTGTTATACTGTTGTGGAAAACTCTTCACAGATCTCTAACATTCTTGCACATCTTGTGAGCAGAGGCATTGAAAGCTTTTATTCCAGATTATCTTTTCAAGAATATTTGTATGGCAAACATCCTTAGAAAATATAGTGTCTTCCTCTAGGAGAGAACAGATTTTTTTGCTGTACACAGTATAATAAAAATAATCTCTTCCCCCAGGGAAAGATTGGGCAAGTTTGCATACATCTTCCTTATAAAATATTGGGGAATTCTGAGCTTTGGGTCTCTTGACTGTGATGCAAAACCACTATTGCACAATATCCACCTGGGCCCATCTTCCTGTTGCCCCCATGGAAGGAAAACCATATGAATTTGAACCTCACCCTGTCATGAGTAACAAAATCCTTTGTCTCTGACCCAGGAGTCTTGTGTCCAAGCATTTATGAAATTCTAACAGCCTAACTTGTTAGCTTGCAAAGTGATTAAAATCTCAAACCCTTCACAGTCTGTAACATTCAGCCCCTCTCTATTTCTCTCCAATACCTATAGACTGAAGTCCAAGTGCCTTAGCCCTCAGTACTCTGAGTGGATCTGTCCCTCTACCATCCTTCTCCTCATATTAGTTACTCATGGTCCACAGCTGATCATAGTTCTCCAATTAGCACATCCTATTCTCTATCTTCCCATCTTTCTCACCTTGTCCCTTCTGCTTGAATTGCCTGCTAGTCTCCCCAACCAGAGTTCTTCTTTTCCCCTTTCTCACCTCAGACTTTTTTTAGCCTGCAACCTCCTTTTCATACCATAAACACAGTGCAGGCATTATCCCCATTTGACAGCACCCATTCCTAGGTTAAATTCAGATTCCTTCTTGTGGGTTTCCAGAGCACCCTGAGAACTACTCAATCAGCCCTTACCATATTTATGAAAGTGTCCATCTGTGTGTTTGTCTCACCCATAAGACCCAGAGTTACTTGAATAAAGAGACAGTATCTTCTTCATCGTGGTATCCCCAGCACCTCATTTGATGCTAGTACCTGTGAATGCTCAGTAAATATTTGTTGAACTGATAAGAACTGAAATAAACTAAACTGATTTTATTAACTCTAATGCCCTTACTTCTCACTCAAAGAAAAAAAAATAATCCTTTTCATTTGTATTCTTAAACTGGGAAAATTGGTTTCCTGCTTCCTTTTTAAATGCTATTTTCCTTTGTAGAATATGACTCATTAAGACTTAAGTCCTTCCAGAAGAGGTAAGAATTTAATAAAACATTCTATAGAGGAGTGATATTTCTCTAAATCTAGTTTTATTCCCCAAACCATATTGGATTAGTCAAATGATTCGTGATATAAGTAACTGAAAAGAAAAGCAGCCCAATTCTTTAACACTAAGCACTTGAGGATTGTACTGAATAATGCCAGAGAATATAGGCCATGTGAATAGACTCAGCATTGCCTGAGTACTCTGTCTCCTGGGAAAACCCCCTGATTAGGGCACTGAATTATCAGTTCTAAAGGAAATGTTTTCTAGTCTTTAGTTAACGAGGTGAGACAATGTGGCACACTAGTGCAGGAGGTGTGAAGGATGTCATCATTCTATTGTTCAGGACCATCTCGCATAAAGTGTGTGGTGAGAAATTCATCTTTTGGAAAGCACACAGAGCACTCTGACACCAGGCCTTTTAGAACATCCCCAGCACTTAAAAGTTTACAAATGGTGGAGACTGCTTACCATTCCCTTGATTACCCTAGGGAAGGATTTATGCTTTTAAAAACTGAAGAAGAAAGGAAAAGAAAAAAGAAGAGTGGGGAGGAGAAGAAACCATTGTTAGCATCCTAGGTTTTTAAAGGCTTCCTTATACGGTCCTCACTGATGCACATAAAATAATTCCAGGCAATGTAGTTTCTCACCTAGAGGCTAGTATTGATACATTGAGGCTTCCAGATAATTCTTACAAACCCAAATGAACCCATCCATCCACAATGCAGTAGGTAGACTAAACACTCACTGCACCATGCATTCCAATCAAGGAATTCTATATCTAATGAAACTTGGCTAAAATATCTTTGAATATTTTATTGGGTACAGTATTTACACACACTCTAGGGAAAAATCTTTTCTTACATCTTCCCACTGACTTTTCTGAAGAATATAATCGCTGGTCCCTGTGAACCTAGATTAAGAAATTTAACCTGACAATTCAATCAGTCCTACAACTGCTGTCATTAAAATACTAATTTTTTAAAAATTTGGTGGTAGAGGGTCGCCGGGTGGCTCACTTGGTTAAACACCTAACTTTGGCTCAGGTCATGATCTCACGGTTCATGAGTTGGAGCCCCACATCAGGCTCTCTGCTGTCTGCACAGAGCCTGCTTCAGATCCTCTGTTTCCCTCTCTCTCTACCCTCCCTGCTCTCTCTCTCTCCCAAAAATAAAAAATAAAAATAAAATAAATAAAAACGTGGTGGTGGAAAAGGGACATGGTCTGCCTTCACCTCAAGCTACATTATAAAACCAAAAATATGTCCCCTCCCTAGTTAAAAGGCAGGGCTCTAGCCTAAGTATAAATCCATATTGCATCAGGACAACCCTTCACAACAACTAGCTTGTCCTTTTCTGAATCCTTTGCTTACTACCAATGGTAAGTGTAATGCATCAAATTACCTAAATATAATCCACCAAAGTATTAATGAATTAATGACTTAAGACATATATTTTGACTTCATATAAGTGGGAATGATTTCAGGATTTGAAATATCTTGTTGAAACATTTGGCTATAAAAATAACAGATATATTTAGTATAAAAACTATTTCTTAACATCTTACTAATACTTTGATATTGGAGAAAAAGTCTAAAAATTCCTAGTCTTTTTTGCTTTCTTATAAAATCTATGGTTAGTATGTCTTTTTTAAGACAGCAGGAAAAAAACTTTAAATAAGCTATGGCAAAATTAAGTTTATTGTTTATTTTAAAAGACATTGGTAGTGACATTTACATATATGCAAGATGTTTTTGTCTATTTCCTAAAATAAAAATTTTATGAAAGAAAAAGTTCAGGATTTTGAGAACTAATCAATGCACTTAAAATGCTAAGCATAACAGATGCTCGGTAGGGAAATATGTTCAAAATAGCTAGAAAGTAGCTCTCCAATAATGTTGACAATGCAAAATTATTGCAATATTTGCAAAAGAGAATTGCAACAAAAGAAGACTTGCATATTTAATTCATTAGCTTTAATTTCTCCCTGAATATCAAGGGATTAAATTCATTTGCATCAGGCTTTGGTGTTAATCCGAAGAATTTATTAGCTCCTCTGCAGCATTGTTTTAACAGTACTTACTGTTTTCTTTCTAGATGTTCTGAGATTTTAACCTTGTAGGTTCCAGGAAGTTTCAGCAGAATATCAAGGTAAAATCACCATTCTTTCAGTCTTGGACTCCTGGGGCAGCTACAGCCAGGTTTGTTGTGGGTTGTCCCAGGCAGCAGCTGTGCTGTTACAAGGGAATGTTCTCCATTTAACTGGGCATGGTCTACTGCATTAGTTATATGAGTAAATAACAGGCAAGGGTGTATTGTATGAAAGTTTGTGCTTGACTGGCTCAAGTATGCTTATTATAATAGATTTTAAAATATTCAGATGACATATGCTTACAAAAGCATGGTGGTAATTATAAAATCTATGGTCTATTGTGCCGATCACTACCTATCTTCCTGACTACCATCTTTGTTCTAAGAAGGATGACCATTTTATTTTATTTATTTATTTTTTAATTTTTTTTTCAACGTTTTTATTTATTTTTGGGACAGAGAGAGACAGAGCATGAACGGGGGAGGGGCAGAGAGAGAGGGAGGCACAGAATCGGAAACAGGCTCCAGGCTCCGAGCCATCAGCCCAGAGCCTGACGCGGGGCTCGAACTCACGGAACGTGAGATCATGACCTGGATGAAGTCGGACGCTTAACCGACTGCGCCACCCAGGCGCCCCGAAGGATGACCATTTTAAGATAAAAGTTCCAGGTCTGTAGGATGCATGATGTGAAAAGCTGTTTTCATGATTGTTTATCAATTCTACTCTCTTAGAGACACTAATTTTCTGACTCATCACAGCTTTTTATTTTTCCCTTTAAAAGAGTTCTACCATATTGTACATTAAGCTTTCATTATGTTGATGTTTTTCACAGTTTTATTTTACATTTAACTTCCTATCATTGTTGTATCCTTGAGTTGTTGATTTGCATGACAGCATTTACTCCAGTACAGATAAGAAGCACATGCATTTCATCACTCCTGAGAAGTAAGGTTTTAATGACAATGGTAATTCCAAAGCAAGGATTTCAAAACTTACAAATGACCTAATGGCACTAGAAAAATATTCTATTTATAGCCCATGCTGCATATATAACAATTTGGTATTTATTTCTCTTTCTTATGACAGGGAAATGAGCCCCTTGTTTATTATAAGAAAAACAGTAGCTGTCTATAATTAAAGACCATATTTCTTCATTCAAACCTGAAACATCGAAATTGATAACTCTTAAATAAAAAATTCCAGCTACTGCCCACCCTTTTAAAAAAATTTCTTCACATAAGTGGCATGATTTAAGATTGGCTCATTTCTGTCCAGTTTGCTTGCAATATTCAAAAGCAGCAATAATATTTGCTTTCTTAATTGCAAAGGACTGCATCCAGGTATTGTCCTCAAAATCATCAAATCTGTTTATGCAGATTTATCTGTCTAGGTTCTTGCCTCTAAATGCATTTGAATCAGAGCTACTCATAGTACTGACATATTTTATGTTTGCAGATTAGATTACTCTGCTGTGCTGTTAAAAATTCATCTTCAGTAAAATGAGATTGGATGATTTCTAATCTTTTATGTTCAAACTTTCTATGTTGTTGAATTCTCCAAGGAAATGGGAATCATTTCCTATGGTAGTATATTTTATGGTTTACAAGCCTCAAAATGTGGAGTTCTTTCTTAATCATTTCTGCAGTAATGACTGAGGCCTTTTGCTGTCATTTACATAGGAAATGTAGTTGGTACTGGGACCCAAGAGAGCACAAGTTGAGACAAGTACAAACAGATTGAAAGAGAAATACTAGCAATGTCCTAAGAAGCAGAAACTTTCTAATTCTCTGTTGTTATTAAATTAAAAGTGATATGAACTAATGAAAACAGCAAATCTAGGTGCAACGTGAATATGGGATTAAAAACATACAAAGGGGAAAATAAGAAGTCCTTCCATCAAGGTTGCAATATGATGAGATATCACCATTATCAGAAGCTGAACTTCCAAAGAAACACACAGTCCCACTGGTGTTTTCACAGAAAGTTGTTTTGGGAAAGAAGGAAAAAGAAAACTGTCAATATTCTAGCAATAACTGAGGTTCCTGTGTTATGTACACAGGAGATTCAACTGAACAGGAGGATGAATGAGAGAATAGAGGTTTTCATATCTATATATACATACATTAGCTTAAAAAATTAACAGATTCATTATCCAGTTTTTTGTATTATTTTCATAGTTTTATTATAAATATAAATACATGTGAGATATATTCTCCCAGATGTACACCAAATTCTTCGTGGTGACTACTTCTGGGAAATGACTTTGTAGAGTGAGAAATGGTGGAGGGCCTCCAGTTTTTAATTTGTAGAATTCAGTATTATTTTTTTCTGTGCATGTATTTTATGCAGTAAAATGTATATCTCTTTCCTTTGAAATTCATAAATAGAAGCTATCATATATCCTGGAGTTAAAAAACAAAAACAAACCTATCCTGGCCTTCCATACTAAGAATTAATTTGTGCTGAGCTAAACCCTTGTGACAAGTTTACTAACTAAGACTTCTCAACTTTAGTTATTTAGTGGCTATTTTCTCTAGAACAAATTATTTTAAAGTGAAATTCTAATGTAATATGGGCAGGCAGTATATTGTTTCTAATGTTACTGCCCTTTTTTATTAATAAAAATGCAGCCCAGCATTAACCTTAATCACTGCCTGCCAGGGGATACATAATCACAATACAGGGTTTACCAATTTCCCCAAGAGCTTGCTATAGGCAGGCTGCCTCAGGGATTTCTTTCACTTTCCATGTTTGCATTTCCCGTAGGATACAAGTGATAGAAAATACACATATGTGGACACAGAGTCTAAAGGACTCACAGTTCATAATATTCCGGTTATAGGGTGAGCCAGAGATTAAGCTGCTGTAAGCAGTGGCTTCTATTTTGACACTCCCTCCTAAATCCTGTCACCTCTCAAAAATAATCATCACATCTTCTGTTTTGGTGCCAGCCATAGCCCTGGTCATTTCATATACATCTCATATAAACTATATCTAAAATGTAATTCACTGGACTCTCATCCTTTGTGAAATGTTGCAGGTAGGATTTTCCAGGAAATAGATTCTAAAACAGAAGTTTGCACACAGGATGTTACAGGATGTGTTCATGGGGGTCAACATCTATACAAATGTGAAGGAAGTCAGATTGCACAGAGAAAGCAATTGGGCTGCGTGGGAGTTCCAACAGAGGCTCATTCAATCCTATGGTGACCTCTGCAACTAGAATGGCCATGTAAAATTGTCCCAAGTTAGAGCAAGGTTAGACATTAGTCTCCTGAGTAGACTAGTCTTTAGATGCAGGCAGGGGCAGTACATTGGGAAAAATGGCTCTTTTCAGCCCAGCACTGTCACCAGAGAAGGGATACTCAGCTGTAAGAAGTCTGCCATCATACTCCCAACAGCTGGAGGAGTTAGTGCTTCCATCCAGAAGGGTGGAGCTGAGCAATGCTCCACAGGGGCCAGCACATTAAATATACCAACCTCTTTCTAAAATAGCAGTTGGCACTTACCAGAATAAATCATTTAACTGAGACTCTTCTGTTTGGTTCATTTGTACACTCTTTTTTTCTTTTTAATGTTTGTTTATTTTTGAGAGAGAGAGAGAGCATGAGCGGGGGAGGGCAGATAGAGAGGGAGACACAGAATCTGAATCAGGCTCCAGGCTCTGAGCTGTCAGCACAGAGCTATATGAGGGGCTCTAACTCACGAACTACAAGATCATGACCTGAGACAAAGTTGGATGCTTAACCAACTGAGCCACCCAGACACCCCCTTTTGTACACTCTTAATATGGACCATACATAAATATGCTCTAGTTTATTTATTCATTAATTCATTCAGTTTGTTTCAATCCAATAACTAGGTGTTGAGTACCTACAATATGCCAAGTATTTCTTAGCTCTGGTGATACAGAAATGGATATGGCATAGTTCAGAAGAATGATCGTCATGTTATAAAATATTTATTGAATTTTTACCACGTGCCAGGTTCTGTGAATTTCATTTAATTCTCTAACAACCTTGTAAATTACATTCTATTTTTATCCCCATTTTTCAGTTGGGAGGACTCATGATTGGGGGGTTTAGTAATTGTTCCAAGATCATTCTGCTAATATGGTTTGGAAGAGGGTTTAAACCCCAATAGAATAACCTCAGAACTGGAGCTCCTAACCACCAAGCCTGGAGAGTTGGAGAAAACATCCTGAAGGATGTAATACTGAGAGCAACTTGGGTGATATTAGGATTATCAAGGTTAAACTGCATTCTCAGCAGAGAGCTACCACTAAAAAACAAAGAAGTGAAGTGGAACCACAAGCAGTGCAAGATTACTAGAGCATAAAAGTGCAAGGCAGGGAGTGGCAGGAGGTGAAATGGAGGTGGAGATAGGGGCCAGGTCACAGTGAGCCTACTATGCCATACTAAAGCTTAATCCTGAAGGACAGGAAACCATCCAAGGGTTTAAAATAAGGAAAAAGAAAGTATAGAATTTGTGCCTCAAAAGATTTCTCGCTTTGGTGGAGGATTCAGGGTGCAGTGACATGCTGAAGACATGTGAATTCGTTGTGGAGGAACTGGCTGGGCAGTTGGATATTTGAACCTGAAGTGCAGATGAGGGTGAGGGCTAGATATAGTTTAGTGACTTATCAGAATGTGAGTAGTAATTAAAACCATAGGGTTAATATGATATTATGGAAGTTTTCTACATTGAGTGTTGAAAATAAGAACAGGAGACTGAGTACCAAATCTTATGGAAGGGTAAGCAGAGAAGAGTTTACAAAGGGCTGGAGACAGGGGAAGTGCCCAGTATCAGTGAGAGAGAGACAGCAAGAACCTTACAAGAGCTTTGCAATGAAAAGAATAGTCCCCAGTGCCAAAGGCATAGGATAAATCAGATAATTTTAGTGCTGGAAAGTGCTATTGGGGTTTGGCAATATGTGAGCCATTGGTGACTGCCAAGAGCACCTCTTGGAAGTGAAGAGGGTAGGGGCCTTATTGCCCTGAGTTGGCGAGGTGAATGGGAAATAAAAGGGTGGAACTTAACGTGGTGTTGATAATTCATTCGATAAGGTAGAAAGGAAATGAACACAAAATGGGGACCCAATGTCAGAGGGACATTGCTTTAAAAAAAATCCCTACACTCAGA